TAACAATAACTGCCCAAGTGAAGGCCAAGAAAACACAACACATGGCCAAATGAAATGATAAAGGCAATGCAGGATTTAAAAACAGAATCAAAAGAAACAGAAACACTGAAGAGAACACAAGCTAAAACAAAGATGGAACTGAAAAACTCAATAGCTCAATTAGAAGACTCAGATGCAGATATTGGGGTGGGAGGATAACGTAGAGGATTTAGAACAATCAGGCAAGAAATATGGAAAATTAAAAAAAATACATGAAAGAAGCATCCAGAAACTGTGTGACACCATGAAAAGACAAAAGTTTCTGATTATAGGCATATTGGAAGGAAAAGAATCCCAGGTCAGTGACACAGATCAGATTTTCAACAAAATCATAGAGAACAACCCCAAATCAAGGAAAGATAAACCCAGTTAGATATAAGAACTGAAGAGACTCTGGCCAGCTCGGAGTATGGCTCTGGCAGGCCTTGCTCTTCTCCCCATGCCCCCTGCCTTGCTAAAAACTATTAGATTACATTCTTAAAGCTAGCCACCAAAGTCTACTCCCTTATTTGGCCACTCCTCTCCCCACCCCAAGGCTGACTATCAAGGTCCAGCTATCGAAGTGTTCAAGTCCAAAAATCAGAAGCCTTCTTTGGCTCACCTAATTAACATATCCAGTTAAATGCTTCATCCTAACACAGGTTTTCCCACTTTACCTTTAAAAACTGCCATTTTCCTATGGGCCATGTCTGTCTTTCCTCTATCCAGAGGCAGTCCCGTATCCTGGGACAAATGCTCCTGCCCCTTCTCCCTTGTTCCCTTCCCCTCTCCTTGTCCTCCTAGTCTCATAGTCCATCCTTCATCCCTCTTGGGCAAATAAATTTCTGGGCCGAAAACTTGCTCTGGGGTTGCTGTTCTTTTCAAAAAGTACACAGAATACCAACCTGACAGGGCTGGAAAAGAAACGCCCCACAGCATGTCATGGTCAAAACACTAGACAGATTGAAGGATGAGTACTACAGGCTGTAAGAGAAAAAGGACAGCTCACATATAAAGAAAAATCCTTCAGAATAACAGCTGGTTTCTCAATGGAAACTTTGAGTATAAAGTAATTACTCCAAGTTCTAAAAGACCATGGATGTCAACCTAGACTATAGTACCAAGCAAAGCTATTGGGCATGGCTGAGGGAGAAATAAAAAAAAAATGCTATGATACACAGATTGGGAAAAGATATTCACTAACCCCAAATTTGACAGAGGGCTGATCTCCAAAATTTACAAACAACTCAAGAAGCAAGTCTCCAAAACACCAAAGGATCCAATCAAAAATTGGGATATAGAACTAAAGAGAGAATTCTCAATAGAGGAGACTAAAATGGCTGAGAGACACTTGAGAAAGTGCTCAACATCCCTAGCCATCCAGGAAATGCAAATCAAAACAACTCTGAGATATCATCCCACTCCTATCAGAATGGCTAAAATAAAAAATACCAATGACAGTTTATGCTGGAGAGGATGTGGAGAAAGGGAAACACTCCTCCACTGCTGGTGGGAGTGCCAACTAGTACAGCCACTTTGGAAATCAGTATGGACATTCCTCGGGAAAATGGGAATCAGTCTACCACAAGACCCAGCAATTCCACTCTTAGGCATATACCCAAAAGATGCACATTCACACAACAAGGATGTCTGTTCCACTATGTTCATAGCAGCATTATTTGTAATAGCCAGAATCTGGAAGCAACCTAGATGCCCTTCAACTGAAGAGTGGATAGAGAAAATGTGGTACATTTACACAATGGAGTGCTATTCAGCAAAAATAAAAACCAATGGAATCTTGAAATTTGCACTAAAAGAAACCATCCTGAGTGAGGTAATCCAGTCACAAAAAAAGAAACATGGTATGTACTCACTCATTTATGGATTTTAGACATGAATCAGGGGAGTGCCAGCATACAATCCTACTGCCAAAGAGTCTAGGAAACAGAACCTTCATTCAGTGGCTGATGGAAGCAGAGGCAGATACTCACAGACAAACACTGAACTGAACTAGAATCCAGTGTCAGAAAGAGAGAACTGACGGGCAAAGGAGGTAAGAATGGGCTGGTTTAACCCACAGAAACAGTTGACCTGAACAAGGGGGGGGGCTCTTGCACTCCAGTTTGATGGCTGTGTGGAAAACATGGGACTGACCCATACCCCCTGAATGTGGGTGTCAGTGAGGAGGCCTAGGTAATCTATGGGACCTTGGGTACAAATATTACCCCTGGCATACAAATAGATTTTGAGTGCCCATGCCACAAAATGGAGGCTCTCTCAGCCGGGACTCTTGGAGGAGAGCCTAGGCCCTGCCCTGGATGAAATGACAGTCACTGGAGATCCACCATGGAGGGCCTCACCCTCCTTGGTGATCTGGGTGGGGGACTGGGGAACCTGGTGGGAAGGGTGGGGGAGGAGGAGAGGGAGAGGGAGCTGGGATTGACATGTGAAACAAGATTGTTTCTAACCTAAATAAAAAATGCTATGATATAAATGAACTGAAAGAATCCATACAGAGAATACTGGAAGCAACATTTCAGATTGAAGAGGAGGAATAAGCATAGACAAGAGATTACAGAAAGAAAACAAATGAGCTGGTAACTACTGAAACACAAAACAACAAATGAGCAAAATGAGTGCAACCAACACACACTTTAAATATTAACTATCCAATCAAAAGATAGGTCAGATGAGTGGATTAAGAAAAAAAATCCATCTTTCTGCTGCCTACAAGAAACTCAGCTTTGAAGACAGGCATCATCCTAACAGTGAAAGCATGGGAGACAGCATCCCAAGCAAATGGAACCAGGAAGCAAGCTGGTGTCACTGTCCTTATATCTGACAAATGACTTCAAACAAAATCTAATTAGAAGAGATAAAGAAGGAAGGACACTACAATATAATCAGGGGACAATTCACCAAGAAGGTATTACAGTCCTAGACATAAAAGCTTCAGCTTCATAAAAAGCACACTTCTGGAGTTAAAGACACAGACAGAGTAAGTTTAAGTGAGCTAGTAACAGGTGATTTCAAAACCCCACTTTCATTGCCAATAAACAACAAACACACTGAGAAGATGATCTTGGAGACACATTCATTCACAACAACAACAAAAATAAGGATAAACCTAATCAAGGTAGTAAAGTCCTCTACAACAAAAACTTTAAAGCCCTCAAAAAAAGATAGTAGAAAATGAAAGACTTGTCTTACTTATAGATTGGTACAATTAATATTGTGAAAAGGTTCTTTCTATCTAAAGCAATTTATAGATTCAATGGATTCCCAATCAAAAATTCCTACAACATTCTTCACAGAAACAGAAAAATATTATCCTAAAATTTATATAGAACAAAAGACCCCAGATAGCCAAAGCAATGCAGAAAAAAAGTACAGTGCTAGGATTATTGTTCCACATTTCAAGGTATTTCACAGAACATGACAATTCCACAAAAACAGACATATAGATCAATGGAACAAAACAGTAGACCCAAACAAGTACACAACAACAATCATCTGATATATGACAATGGTGAAAAAGGGAAAAAATAAAAACCAAAACATCAACAAAAAACCAAACAACTCCCAGCATCTTCAAAAATGGTGCTGGGGAGATCGGGCGTCCACAGGTAGAGGAACACATTTAGGCCCATCTATTATTAACCAGCAGCAAAGCCAACTCCAAACAGATCAAAGCCTCAACGTGAAACCTGAAACATCAAAACTGCTACAAGACAAGACAGGCAGAGCCCACAAGATGCAGGGGAACAGGCATTCATTTGCTCAGGCATTAAGGCTAACAAATGGGACCGCATGAAATGAAAAAGCTTCTTTATAGCAGAGGAAACAACCTATAGTCATGTGTACATAGCATGCCCCATCTCCACATACACATAATCTAAAATGACAACAACATCATCTTTTTAAAAACAAAACAGCAACAACTGACAACAGATACTGGAGGGGATGTGGGGAAAGGGGACCCTCATCCTCTGTTGATGGCACTGTAAACTGGTGGAGTCAATCTGTAAGTCAATGTGGAGAATTCTGACCTAGCTGCAAACCCTGGGAACCAGAACAATGATTGAATTGGGAAGAAATCCACAAAGGTGCAATTGTGGAATTTTCATCTGGAGGGCAACCAAGAGCTATCTAAGCAGACTTCAAGTCTATTCCATGGGAGAGAATTCATGTCTGATACTGTAAAACTGGGTCTGTAGGTGGTGAGGCCATGAACCCTATAAGAGAATGTGCGGCTCGTATTTCACTAAATTAGTACAGTTTCTAGCTACATTCTGAATACTTATCAGTGTATCCAAAGGTAAACGTAGCTCACTCCTCATCAAAGCAGCTGTTTTTTTTCCCAACAGGTAGAGATCATTACCGAGATCTACAATTGGTCAAAATAGGTAGGTGACCAGGGAGGCTCAACCACAACTGAAGCAAAAAAAAAAGAAATCTCAAAAGAGAATGTGGAAAGGTCGTAAGAATCCAGGGTATCTGCTGTTAGACAGTGGATCCTGTATACACAGCAAGGGGAATGCACCCATGACCTGTCAATGGTTGCTGTAACAAGATCATCAGTTGACATGGTATAACAGAGCAGAAATTCCACAAGGTCCCACACCTAGATGAAGAGCTACAGGAGGCCGATGGCTGTGCAGGGTGGGGAAGACCAGTTTCCTCTATGGATGAGCTCCCATATAGGTTGTCCAATCCCAGGTGCTAAGCCCTGGACAATCAAGCAAAGCTAAACAGACCTAGTGGGTTCTATATACACACAAATGCATCTGGGTAGCACACATTTATACATGCACAATAATAATAATTCAGGTTATGAATTTGGGGGCCAGGAGTGAAGTAGATGTCCTTCTCATGAACTGAAGTTCTCAAAACGAAACAAAAACCAAACAAATAAATATAGCAAAGGGAATGGAAAGCGTATGCTCCAACTTTTCCTAGCAAAGGAAGGAAACCCGAGTTACCTGGTTGGTAGAAATCAGGCGACAGTTCCCGGGCCACGGCTCTGGCGATGTCACACTCCTGGCGGGCAGCCTGTGCAGCCTGGTCAGCAGTGTCAGCTTTCGCTCTGGCGTGTGCAGTCCTGCAGGGGCATGGAAATGATGGTGAGTACAGAGAGCTCTGTAGTAATTCCCCCACAGACAGCAAACCTTGATCTAGGGAGAGAAATGCCAATTCTGATCATGGCCCAGCACCTGCATTAGCAGCTTTCAGTGTCACGGTGCTCTGAGACTCCAGCAACAGCCACAACACAGATGAAACCACCTGTGAATCACCACAGTCCTTCTTTCAAGGGAAAAGGAAATCAAGCCCAACATCTCTATAGCTGGACACTCTCTGGCTGTCAGAACTCATTGGGCCAACTCCTCTGCTGATCTTGTATCACACTCCCCCAACTCAAAACAACAACAACAACTATGAAGATTAGGATTTGACCTTCTGAATTATCTTAGTGTTCACTGACCAAATTCCACTGGTAGACTCAAGTAAGAATCTGACTGATTCCTATGTGTGGATACCCTTGCTGTGGTTGACTTCAGGCCATCAGCTGGATGCTATTGGATGTGTTATTGGGAAGAGACACACACTGCAGGTTCTTACTAACATCCTAAGGAGGGCTAGCGAGCTGTCTACTTACCTGATTAATTTAAAAATTCTCTGCCTTTACATTTTTCAAAAGGTTATTTGTGTATTGTGGGTGCCGCTAGGAGTGTGAAGAGGTCACAGGATAAATTTTTGGGAATTGATTCTCTTTCTAAAGTGTGGACTCTGAAGTCTGAACTCAGGTCGTGACGTTTGTCAATAAGTGCTCTTAACCTGCTGAGCCCTCTCACTGGCCTGGTTTACCTGATATATTTTATTGGGGTGTGACATGGATTTTGTATTAAACAGAAAGGACCCAGTGAGGCAGAGCTGGTGTCTTCTATCCCCTCCCTGGTCCATCCTCATACATTAAAAGTCCCACCATTTAGAGGCAGGAACAAGTGTTGGGCTTCCTGGGCTGGTATGATAGCTCAGTTGGTCATGTGCTTGTCTGCAAGCATGAAGATCTGAGTTCAATCCTCCCAAGTGCACAATACAAAGGAAAGAAAAACCAGCTACAGTGACACACACTTGAAATCCTAGTGCTAGGGATGTGGAAAAAAGCAGATCCTTGGGGCTCATTTGGCAGATAGCTCAGCCTCCCTGCGGAGCTCCAGTTCAGTGAAAGACCCTATCTCAAAGTAAGGTGTGTGTGTGTGTGTCCATTTCCCAAAAGACTTGCTCAGTGTTTAAATGACATGTGTGTCTACTCTTATGCCTTTGCAGAGATCCTGTCATATTATATCAGCACCGGGCAGGGCTATGGAAATGCACTCAATTCTCAGACAATAGGGGAGCTTGATCCAGGAAATGGTACTATACTCCAGGTAATCTTTGGGAAGACACAAGTGGCAAATGGAGATGACCAGGAAACTCTCATCACAAGGCTAAACCACTAGAATTAAAATAGAAAGGCAGGGTTTAACCTGTGGCCAGGGTACTTGCTAGCTAAAGGCCTCCTCTCAACTTTTTCCTGGACTCTTGTAGGTTCATTCCCTCCTATCTAGAACCTATGCTGGCCTAGAGATTTGTAAGCTTTGCAAAGACCAGGATCTTTTACATTCTGTTCTTTGCTGCACCTGGTACACAGTATTTACCAAGAGCCTAACTTATGTATAAATGATGATTCTTTAGGAATAGCTGGGCTGCCACTTAATGATAAGTGAACTAAAGAATATATTGCATGGAAAAAATCTATTTTCAATAAAAAATTACTGAACCACAAAACTACAGAAACACTAAAGACAGGATTGTTACCAAGGGTTCAGTAAGGAGGGGCAACAGACAGAGCAGAGGACATAGGGGAGAGAAACAACTCCATGTCACACTGTAGTGGGTGGAACATGTGTCAAAGTTTGTAGAATATAAGCAATGGATTTTACATAATCAGGGGTGGGTGCTAACATGAACAATGGATTTTAGCTCAAATAAATCAATATTACTTCAACAATGACATCAAATTTACCCAAGATGCCAGAGAAGGAAGCTGAATGTAGACCCAAGGTGGGGAGAAGATTTTTATGAGAACACTACAGTTTGGTCAACTTAAAAACTGCTTCAAAGAAGAATCAGTTAAAAGTGTGACATTACACTGACTGAAAAGGTTATATTTATGTATTTGGGGAAAACATATGTATGTATCTTTCCACCCCCCCCACATCTCTGTCCATTTCTTCTTCCTTCCCTCTCTCTCCATACAAACATATTTTCAACAACAATGGAGGGAAATGATAACTTCAAAAAACCAAAAAAAGTATTAAATAAATAGATCATTTTCCATATATCCAAACAGTTATTTCTTCATCATATGGGATATTTCTGATTGCTTTTCTATGGAGCATTATAAATTTGAAATGAAAATAAAACAGGAGTTTAAGAGAACATATTCATAAGTGCCTGGCTGTAGTGACCTTGTGAGACACCATTCTTGGCAATTTGAGGAGGTGGGTTGATGCTAATTCTATGCCCAAGAACAGTGGGCACCCTCTCTTCACATTCTTTCAGCTTCTCAACGTTTTTCCTTTCTCAGAATGAATCTCCATTTCATCTGCTATTCTTACCAGAGCCTAATTATGTCTAGGTACCATAAGTAATGAAGCTATAAGCATACAGTCATGTTGCCTTATGGTATGAGTTCCCAGCTCTTCAATAAATCTACAAAACTAAACAATGTATTCTGATACATCTGCAACACATTTCTGTCAAGCCAAATACAACAGAATTATTATGTATACTCCATATTACAATCCAGCAACTGGAGAGTAGTTAGTACAGCATACCCTTCCTGTAAACAAATTATGGAAGCTCAGAGTCAGTGAAGCCTCATTTACCACTCCTGTATGTAACTTACTTTTTATTTGCTCTTCTTTACAGGGTCAGACAGACAGACTCTTTCCATTTAACCCAACTATAGCATTAGTCAGAACTACTTACAGCGGGCCAGATGAGCAAGACCACATCCACCCCTCAGCCCAGGGGTGCTGCTTAAGAACTTCTGGTGGATCTGATCATGAGAAATGGAGAAAGTAATGGTTTCTGCATTATGTTCCCGCCAGCTTCATTTTACTGGCATAGCAAGACTTTGGGGGTTGCCCTGGCTCATGTGTGAACTCATTTAAATCTCAGGGCCAGTTCCAAACCTACAAATGGCTGGTCAGACCTGACACTGCTCTTGGGGTTGGAACTAAGATTACATAGTCTGAAGAAATTAGCTGAAGATACACAGCATGGGCTCCTGTTGCAGCTGGTTGTATGGAAACACACACACACACACACACACTCTTTGTTCAACACCCCTTTCACTTCTTAAGACCTCTTGTATATGCAAGTCTTTGGCTCCTCACAGCTTCAATCTCCACACATCATTATCACATATCTTCTCAAATGATGTAATTTTAAGTAACTGAGAAGTCGTGTCCATTAGCTTACTTTTGTAAGTATTCCATGGTTTAACTTTAGGGTGAATGGGGTAAGCTACAAGAACAATTCTCAGATGCAGACCTGGAAGCTGTCTTGGCTCCTCTCTTGGCTACAGACACACAAGTAACCAGATCACCTGGATGCTGAGAATTACCGTAGTCAAAATAATCACAAATGATTTTTTCTTACAAACTTGAGGTGTTTCCCTTTAATAATTGAAATATTTTACAAGTTCTTAAGTCACTTTACTCTGAAGAAAATCATCTAGTTTCCTCAATGTTCTTGGCTGTTTAAAAAAAAATTAATTCAAGGGATGTTCCTTACATTTAACAGTGCTATTTAACAATGCTTTTTTACAAAGAGTATATTCAACTGTACCCTAGACAGGCTCAGGGTTCATACCTCTAAGAAATGCACTTTAGACATCAATCCCACCTCAGATTTTCAAGGACAGAGCTGAAGGAAGGATATTTTAATCCAGAAGGCAGCGTGACTCTGTTAAAGGAGAAACTACACCTGACATTTACTGAGTTTGCTACTTCTATATCTTATCCATTTTTCTTCCCAACAACAAAGTGCTTTAAAATATGCTGCTTTTGGTATCCTTTAAATTTTATATACTATGCCATGGTTAGTTTATCATCTGACTCTTAAAACTTGGTGACAGAGGCCACCATCTAACACATTCAGGGGTCTGTCCTTGAGATTTTTCTATGACATCAAAACAATAAAGAAAATTATTATTCAGGTAATTTAAAAAATGGGAGCAATTGGATGATGAGAGACCAAAGTCTTGGTTCAGGCAGATGCTAGAGCCAAAAGTGCTCACCTCCCTTGGGGTGCTGACTTGACAGGTGCAGACCCCCGAGTTCTCCACTACCAATACCCCAGAAAATTCTGTTCCCCTTTGCTTGTCTTGAAATGTCTGGCAATAACAAGATATTATTATTTGGGGGGGCTATATGGCATTGTGGGCAATAAAATGTAAAAAAAAGAGACCTGTTGGCTTTTCTTTTGGACTGTGACATTATTCATTTATGAGAGACCTAGATTTGAGAAAACCAATTATCTCATGCAGACAGTTGCAGCCCTGGTAAAGAAGAAATTAGTCCATGGAACACTCTGGATAGGGTCAAAAGACAAGGGACTCTGCAAACTCAGGACAATTGGAGGCTTGATTCTTAGGCACCCGTACAGAGTAAGAAGGCCATGCTTCAGTCTTGACATGATCCTCTGGTAAGAGTGGCTCACAGACACGGTGTGCCGTCACTCAGAGGCACAACTTCCCATCTCGTATACACTTGCTAACAGACATAGCTGATGATGATCTCAACCCAAAACGGACAAGAGTCTGCCACTATTCCACCTTCAGTAAACCTGGTTCAGAAGACCGAATCGTAGGCGTCTCCACCTATGAGTTCTTGAATGTTAGCACTCTTCATAAAATGCCTTCACAACAAACAAAACAGAACAAAACCTACAATGTTAACTTCAGGGCTGAGTTCTTAAACTCTTATTTAAACAACTGATATTAACAGTGACTTGTTAATCACTTTTTCCAGTGCTGAAGCTGACAGCTTC